ACTAAAGCCAAAATTATTTGGTGCGCTGAAATGCTATATCTAAACTAAAATATTTAAACTATTGAATCTATATCCTATTCTGAAATATGAGTATTCTCTCATCTCCCTCCTCATTTTACGCTTTGCTATCCAAAATGATGTGAAAAACTTTGAAGAAATTCAGATAGAGGTTTTCATAACTTGATTTTTTATTTGTTTAATTTTTGGCATTTTCTTTAGATGTTTCGTTTTTCTGCTCCAGCTGAACTCTTTTACTGGACATTGTCCTTAACCTTTTGTGCAGCTGTTCCGTTGCCTTATTTGGCTTGCACAATTTTCCAATAGGAGATTTTGCTGCAGTTGCCAAGTTGCAAAGAAAAACGTGTCAGACCAGATTGCTGCCGTCTGTCTATACCGCTGCCGCTGCCGCTGCATCTGCCGCTGCCTCTGCCTCTGCGTCTGCCACTGCCGCTGCCTCGGTCTATTGACATAAGTTGGCTGTGGCAACAGCAACACCAACAGAAAACGGCAACGGCCTGCGATTACAACAGGCAACAACCCATTGCAAAGTTTTTGGTAAACAAGAAAAATAAAATACGTATTTTTATTTGGTTGTTTTGTTTTGTTTTGTTTCTTCTTTTAGCCACATCATCATCTTCCTTTTGTCCGCGAGCAGGAACTGGTCACAGTTTAAAGACCAAGTCAAGTCGGCTGGCGGCTGACGCTGAAGTTTCTTTTATACGATGCCTTTGCCTCTTTGTTTTTGGTATTTCTTAATTTTGCGCCTGATATCAAAGTGTATGTTGTATACGTATATAGATTTATATGTATGTGTGTACGATGCTTTGCGTTTGCAGTTGCCTTTTTGTGTCGTGTAAACAGAAATTGCCAGCGACAAACAGACAGGCAACAACCAACAACTGTTCAGGCCTTACAGCAGCAGCAGCAGCAGCAACAACAATTCAGGCAACATCTGTCGCCCATCATCTAAACCATGTCCAATGCTCTCCCAGCGTCCAATTGGCTAGCCATGTTACGTTGGCTTTACTGTCGCCTCCCTGCCAAATAGTTGGCATAGCTTTGGAATTTTTTTTTTTTTTTTTTTTGTGTTTTTTTGTTTTCAATTTCTCATCTTAATTTAAATTTTTTTTATACATATCTGTTGACTCTTCAATATTCAATATTTTGCTTTCACTTTCGATTGTGTGCGAGATGCGTGAATTAATTATGAAATAGCTGGGCAAATATGTGTGTCGTAAGACGAGTTAATTGCTTTGAGATGGGTTTAAGATTCTCAAGAGGTTTAGCTTAACGTATAACATTGGAATGGTGTGGAAAATATATAGTAAATCTATGCAAATATCTGCTTCATTATGAAACATTAGTTCAAGTAAAATTCATAAATTATACATTTATTTTCTGCAATTTTTCTTTCTCATGAGTCGTGCTATAAATTATAGAAAAACTTTTGTTTTCATTCGAACTAGTATAAAAATGACTATAAATAAAAGTTTAAGATTTTTATGAGACTTGGAGTTACATAGAAAATATTAAAAATTAAATGCTAAAAAGCTTTTATTTATTTTTTAATTTCTACATTTTTCCTTTTTCATATTTCGTGTTATAAATTAATTAAATTATGGCTTACTTTTATTTAATTAAAGAAATCTTTTCTTATTTTTTTGCAAATTGCAAAAAAAAGAGTAGTCTATAAATATCTAGGTCTATGTCAACTATCTGCCATTAGCATTGTAATAGACTTACGGGGCTAGCGAGCTGAGCTATGGCATTTTTAATTGGCTGCTGGCAACAATAACCGCAAGAGAAGAAGAAGAAGAAATGATAATAATAATAAAAAATAAGCAGCATCACTTATTTTGGTACATTGAGATCTGCTGCAGGCAGCGGCAACTGTCTTAAGATACTTTTGTGTATCTTTGTATCTGCGAGATACGCGCTTGACAGGCCCTTCAACCTGTTTGCGATTTATTGTATGAATTTCAAGTTGTAATTTCTTTTGATTTTGTTGTTTCGTTTTTTTTTTTTTCATATATATATTTTTTTTGCGCTTGTATTGTTGTTGTTGTTTTTGGGGAGTGTAGGTCCGTCATTCTAGCAGGTTTTGTTGCTGTTGTTGTTGTTGTTATGTGGAAAGTGGGTCAATCGAGAGATCTTTTATACAAATATATTTTGGTTGCATATTTATCGAAAACATAAATTTTTTTGTTGCCGCGACAAAGAGTTAATGGATTTGTGCGTTAAAAAATGAAAGTTGCTTGGCAACTAGAATTTTAGAGTAGTTCAAACTTGACATTTGCTGAGGTGTGTTGCCCACGCGCCCCATTGAACCAATTATATATACCTACATATAGATGTAGACAAAGGCAGACCTATAGCCTGGTCGGATTTGTTAGTTAAAGCTCGTTAAGTGGCGCCAGACTGCATCAAATGGCGTCAAATCGGCTTCAATTGGCTTGCATTGTATCACAAATAAATCGAAGTAATTGAACGCTAATCACACGCAGAGCCAATTAGGCAGCCCTCGAGTTGGATTTTACTTTGAACTCGCTTCACATTTAGTTTAGAGTGGCCCAACATGATTGAGTTGTTGCTGTGCCTGTCGCTGCTGCTGTCGCTGTCGCTGTTGTTGCTGTTGTTGCTAGTTGAGAATTAAATCGAATTTCAATTTCAATTTCRTTGAAAATGCTCGGGCGGCGCACGTGGAAAAGTGAACAAAATTGTGACTCTGATGAAGCGCTTGATTGGACAGCGGCAGTGCCAACAGTAAATGGAAATAAAGCCAAAGTGTTGAGTGTTGAGTGCCGAGTGTTGTTTGGGGCAGGAAGTGCTGCTTAGTCAAACAAATTGAAAATGTAATTGAGCATGCGATTCGCTATGATATAATCCACATTATGAAATCAGCTAGCAAAGGATGCAAACTATGGGAAATATAAGGGAAAACTACTTGAAATTCAATAAAAATTTTGCAGTAGAATATTGAATAGATATTGATTGGGATTTCGCTTGATGATTTGGGTAATTTATGCTGGAAGAGAGCCGAAACTACCAAGCGCCTCTATATGCGCTTCTCAAAAAGGCTCTGCATTCCCTTGACAACTTTTCTCAAATTGAGTCACAAAATGAGAAACTGATTCAACTTTAACTGCGCTTTTTAGTGACTCGAGCTGACTTAAGCTGAAATTTCATTTGTGTGTGTGTGTGTTTTGGTATCATAAAAATTGGTATTTAGCCCAAATATTATGAAAATACGTTTATGCAACGAAAGTGTTACGTTTTTCAAAGCAGACAACAGATGAAACAAATCCCAATTATGGACATTAGTTCATCCGCAAATCAAAGCCAGCAGCAGCAGCAGCAACAACAAAGAGCGAAAATGACAATCAAATTGGAAATATCATAAATTGTTGCGGCTGCCAGTTGGCAACTCTGAGGCTGAGGCCATGAAAGTGAAAACTAACTATAACAGCGGATGCCACAAATGCCGCATTGACCAACAAACAAAAATACAACAAAAGCTGCAATAACAACAATAGCCAAGGGATAAGCTAGATAGATAGATAGGTGTTCGTATCTMTATATAAATACATATATTTGTTGTTGTAAATAGCTCTAATAGCTCTATCAATTATGTTGGCCGCAAGACTTTGTTAATGATAATTAATATGTATGTATTACAACCCATACATACATATACATCTATATACATCAGTCTGTAACTGACCTAACTATTGAATGTCGCCTTAGAACTGAGATTCCCTTAGCCCACTTGACTCAGTTTCTTGCATATCTCTTTTTGTTTTCAAAGCGAACAGGTTTATTATCATCTGCAACTCTAAGCGTTGCCATGACTTTGTGGCTTTTACTCTCTGCTTCCTTTGCATCTTCAAAGAAACAAAGAAGATGCTGTATATAAATATCCATATATATGTATATATATAAAAAAAGGGAAAGTTCATTGAGGCAAGTCAGTTGAATATTTGTACAATTAATATGAAAATGCCCATGAAAATGTTTTGAATAATTGAATAATTTAGTCTTGGGCTTTATATAAATCTCCCTCAAGTGTTTTGGGGAATTTTTGAAATTTTCCAAACGAAAATTGCATAATATACAAATCCGTTTATCCGCATTTATCTCCTCTGTTGGCCATTCATCTTTTTTTTTGGCCTATTTTTGCAGAAACTTTCCTAAAATCTATGTCACATCCACTTCAAATAATATTCACAACTAGAATACACAATAAATATTTGCATAGCGTTCAATGGAAATGCAAATGGATTTATAAATCTTTTCAGTTTCTATCACATTGTTGAGGCTCTGTATTGGGCACATATTTGAGCTCTGTCGCAGACTTTTTATAAACATTGTCTAGGGTTAACTGGAACGAGTCCATTTCGATCTCAATTTGTTGACAGCCACAAAGGCAATTGTCAGAGTGTATAAAAATACCATTTAATATTTATTCACAATACATATCAAAATAATAATCATAACACAATATTTAAATAGAAATTCCGCAAAAAATGAATGGGGTGGAAAATATATTATTTATAAACTATTTTAAGCAAAGCAAAGGTTTGACCTAAAATCTGATATAAAGCAAAAATATATTAATTTCATGATTTGAATTTACATTTAGCTTTTATTGAAAGGCGGTTAACCTTAAACTATATTTATTTCAATTAAATCATATATGCAATATTTTCTTTACATATATTTTGGCATTATTGAAAGTCASTGAATCTGAACAATATATTAATTTGAATAAAAAAAATATTGAATATATTTTTAAACTATTATTGAAAGTCGGTTTAATTTAAATATGTGAATTTCAATCAATGAAAATATTCAAACTATTTTTTTTATAGATTCCTTTACAGAGACTTTAATCTAGGACATTTATTTTCATGCTCATATTTGAATGAATGTTCATTAATTGTGTTTAAAATAATGTTACATTATTTCCAGCTATATTTGAATATGTTTTTCATAAAACTTACTCCATTATGTTGCACTACATTGGGCGGAATAAATCCTTGTGCATTCGCCGTGATCGTCCACAGGCACAAAGTGCCCCAAAGAGTCAACAAAACTCGCATGATTCACACCGATTTCCGCTAGATAACTTGACTATTTATTTGTTGAGGTTTTTCCAATTTACAGTTACAGCCTTGATTTTTCTTGAATTTCGATTAATCAAATATCGTTGCACTATGTTCGAGTACGAGAGAAAACATGAAGTCAAATTTTTCAAATTGTCAAAAACACAAAACTGAAATCAACTTTTGCGCTGGAACGTTTTCTATTTTTGCCTTATGCCTTATGCAAATGCAGTTAGTTTTTGTTTGGCGCTTGGGTTTTCAACTATTATTGTTTTATTTAGTATTCCGTAAGCGTTGGCTGCCGCGGAGTCGTCAGTCGAGTGCTAGCCGCAGACACGACTTGTCTGGTAAAAGTTCGATGCTTAACTGAAGATCATTAAGCGTTTGGTAACAATTTAAGCCAAGCCAAAGCGACGAAGATGCCAAAAAAAACAAAAACAAAAGCAACAACAAAAAACAAATATGCGAACGACGTGATGCGACGATGAGCGTCGCAACATGTTGCTGGCAACACGAGCAACAACGTCGGCAGCARCAGCAACAGTTGCTGAGAGCGCGTTCGGTGCAAAGAGAAAGCATCGAAGAGCGGCTCGGCGGTTGAAAGAGAAAGTGTTGCTGGTGTGCAACATGAGGAAATGCCACGCTCTATACCGAGCTGTATTTAATTTTGGTTTTGATTTTTTGTTCACCTCTTCGCCGTCTTCTTCTTCTTCGTCTGCTTTGCACAGCAAATGATATTCGCTCTTCGCGTTGCAGTCTTTATCGAACCAGAAACACTTGGCTAGACAAATATGAAGCTATCTGCACAGTCTTCGATTGCAGACGCCCCAAAATCACGTAACTTCCGCACTCGGAAGCGTAGATAAGAACGCCAATTGAAGGCGTACGATTCGTAATGACCATAAATGCCTTTTAATAGCCGGCCAAATGAAATTGCCGACATCATCATTAGCATTTACGAGACCCAAGTGTCACATAGCCCCGCACAATGGCAACGAATATGTGTTTAACATTTCGTACAGATCATTAAAACTGCATTCCAAGCACACACCACGATCCGACTACAGTCTTCAAGTGATTCATTTTTTACGCATTTTTCACTCTGATCATAATTACCAAAAGTAGATGATTAATGTGGCCGGCGTTGTCTTTCCGCTATATTTTATGGAGAGCTAGACGGTAGCTCGGACCGGACCTGATCCAGCTGAGATCGGCGCTCCAATTGATCAACCCCATTACGCACTTACATCATCGAAAATCGATGAATAATCGTTGCAGGTTGATTTGATCTAGTTTTACATAGACCGAGAGAGGGCACAGCATGACGCTGTTGAACCGATCAAATGGATCGCTAATAATTGATGTTTCGCATTGATGAAGCTTGCCGAGTGCCTAAACTGGACAGTCATTTATGATGTTAGCTGGTGGTATTCATATCTAGTATCAAGGTTACGCTAACATCGAAAAGTCTGTGAATGTCAGATCAGTCAAGTTTTTAGTGTTTTGAAGGAATTCGAGCGAAGTACAGAGAGCTGAAGTATTTAATTGATCTGCATTGGGTGGAATTCATTAAGCTGCATTTAATCAAAACAACCTAAACGAAGATCTTCTGTTGGATAAATTCATTATGCGCTTCGGTATTTAATTGTTTTTTTCTTTTTTAAGTAGTTAAACATTCCTCAGTTATTAATGAAGATAACTTGAGCCCAAAGGCATTTACAAGTTTCTTGGATTATAAATATGGCTCTATCTCAAGTACATCTCTCTTAGAGTAAGCTCAAAGTAATTACACTATATTATATCGGTTATAGCGGTATATTGTCTTTAACTATTTTACTGTTATTAAATTGACAGCAAAATTCTTCTCTTTTCAACAGCCTGCTTCTTATCTACAAACATCCACTTGCTTTCTAAGACATTGCTTAGTTCATATTCAGCTAAGATTTATAAAGAATTCCTCCACAGATCATCCTCAGCTGCTCTCACTTTGCCACTCCCATAGATCTAATCAAAAGTTTTCCTCCATCTCTGATTATCCAATTGACTTCCTCTTGTGCAACAGCTGGCTGGCTATTGGCCGGCCAGTTAGCTGTCAATCTGGTGGCCCTTATCAAAGCGCAGCCTGGGCCACTCACACAAATTATGGCATTTGCTGCTTTCCAGCAATTATCGCAGCAATTTGCTGTGGCTCGAAAAATTCGGCAATGCGACGACTAATCGACTAATCGACTAATCGGCAAGTCCGTCAGGCAAACACTTCAACGCCAGCTTTCATTAATAAAGATTTTCACTTTCAAACGCAACGCAACAGATATGAAATATGCAAGCAAATGGCCCATTAACTCTATGCCCAATGCAATTCTAGAGTAGGTCTCAACTGCGGACCGGATAGACGAATGGGCAGACGAATGGCGGAATGGACGGACCGACCCCTCTAATCGATACGAATCTATTCGATCTCCAGTTGCATTACATAAGCAGCTTATCGGGTTTCGCTCTGGTCACTCTACACCCCACAGATAGACAGCGATAGTGGCCTATGCTCGATTTGACTGATTCGATGATGGCGCAGGTTGGGGCTGCTGCCCAACCAAGTCCAATGACTCGAGACGTTGCTTCTTTTGTATCCGTTCGATGCTTTAATTTTATTTGATAGCTTTCTTTGTTCAGCAATCGTACGGCTAGAAAAGCCATGATGACTATAAAATCTATATGGAAAACACATAAAACAACAACAATAATAACAACAATCACCTGTTTTTGTGCACGTTAATTCAATTGGCTTTGTCAGGCACAATAAATTATCGAATGGGAAAAATACCAAAATTTCATTGAAGAAGTTTTCTCCGTTTTGTCTCAAGTGTTTCTAATGATGCTCAAATTTCTGTTGTTTTTTAAGAGTTTTCAGTTTAAGAGATAGTCAAGATCTTCAAAATAAAATAAATATTTAATTTAATTTAGTTTGACGTTGCGCTTTTTATGTAGGATATTTGAAGATTTTGCTAAATTCTGAGGAGGTTTTGAGCAGCTGGGGGTTTGACCTTATTTAAAGCAAGCTGTTTTTGAAAAGTATTTATATTTATTATTAATTTTTATTTTT